AGGTTGTAGCCGTGTTGGTCTAAGGACATAGGCAGACAAGGTTCCTTGGGTGAATTTGATATCTTTTATTAGACCAACCCAAATGGTTGGACAATAGTTATTAAGCAAGCTTTCGGGTTCAAAAACCCTTTGTCAGGCTAAGGAGGTTTCAGCAGTTGGTGTGTGCTCTTCCTGGATACTTTTCATTCCATCCAGGAAGAGCACACACCAACTGCTGAAACCTCCTTAACCTGACGAAGGGTTTTTGAACCCGAAAGCTTGCTCAATAACTATTCTCTAACTATTCAGGTTGGTCTAATAAAAGATATCAAATTCACCCAAGGAACCTTGTCTGCCTATGTCCTTAGACCAACACGGCTACAACCTGATCACAATCATCACACCAAAGATGATTATCTGGTGGTGGCTTACCTTCCGCTTTAGGGGAAGGGAGGAGAAAGGAATGAGAGAGAGTGGGTGTTACTTACACTAGTGGTTGGAGGGCTGCTACTTAAGCGCTAGGCGCACCCAGGGAGAAAATCTGGGGAGCCAACCCTGACCACTCTCACTGGGAGATCCCAACCAGGAGATCAGCAGCGGTGAGGACAGGTGGAGTCTCAGGAGTAGAGATTGCTGGGGATGATGGTCAGCTCTATATCAGTTTCGCTGTCAAGGGTGTGCTCAGCTCGTTGGACCTCCACAGTCATGGCGTAGCCCAATGATCATCCACACCAATGCACCAGTACACCACCAAACCACTTCCACCTCATTCATTCACCATGCTTCTATCACTTGTTCACACACACTGATCCAGTCACACACAAAGTCAGAGAACACGCACAGGCAGCCAGACTGGACAGACCCGCATTCACACCCAGTCCCAATCATGCATGCAGTTTCTGTCAATCAAAGCCCTTATACAGGGTTTTCACCCAGCAAGCCTGGGCTCTGCCCACTGCCCACTTTTGTGCGCTGGACACTCTCTTCCAGTATCTTCTGATCTTAATTAAGCAAGCTTCCAAGCAGGAGGTCATCCAAAGTTCAACACATGACCTACTTAGCGTCTATGCTTATCAGCTACAACCAAACAGGTGAGGTTAAGTGAGTGCGCCATGGATTCAGACTCAACTTTGTCTCCAATGTATTGGAGCAAACCTCTTTTAAAAAAAAAAAAAAAAAAAAAAAAAATCCTAAACATAAAAATTATTGCTCTAGTATTTTTAAGATGCTCCAATATGTGCCTTTTTTATATTGCTAAAGTAAAGATGCTAAAATGTGGAAGCTTTACTAAAGGTTTCAGTGTCCATAGAACTTTTCTGAGACAAATAATCAATAGCCTGCTTTGAGGAAAGTGGTGCCTTTTGATATAGGGTGCCTAAGGCCCTAACTGCTATTTCTTCAACTATTCCAGCAGCAGTGATGAGAAAGCCCTACTGCTGCCTTCTCTGTAGAAGGAACTCCAGGAAGGCTACCAACTTCAGGCCCCCAAGAATTTAACCAGTGTATATTACGTATTATTAAAACAAATGCCTGTGTGAAAAAGCTAGAATGGGGTTGGAAAACCCCGGTATGTGTGCCAGCACATGGCATGTGAGGCCATCTTGCTTAGCATGCCACAGCTGGCCCAGGCACTAGGCAGCTGCCACCAGCCATGGAGCCTAGGCTGCTTGCAGCATGTGGCCAGGGCTCTGGCTGCTGCCCAGAGCCTAGGCTGGCTGCTGCACCAGGCTCCGGAGCCCTGGCCAGGCTACACATTAGAGGCGGGGGGCTGCACTTCCCTATGTCCCTCCCATGCCATCTGTCCAGAGGCATGTGCTGGGGCCCTGGAGCCCAGGTTCCTGCCACAGCTCGTCCAGGCTCTGGGCAACTGCAGCAGGTGGCAGGCAGGCTGCAAACAGCTGCACTGGGCTCTGGAGCCTTATCACTGGTTCCGTGGCAGTGACAACTGCTTGTGTGCCTCAGGGTGCAGGGTGGGAAAGGGGCCAGGGCAGCACAACCCTGGCCCTTTTCCCGCTGTCCACAGAGGTGTGCATGCAGCTGCCACCAGCAACGAGGATTGGGCTCATCATGGCTCGCCTGTGGTCTGCTCCTGGCATGCCAGATCGAGGCGTGAGTCAGGGTTGGGGTGTTTTTGGAGCTCTGGCCAAAAATATTGTTGACCCCTGGTCTAGCCTTATCTCCAGCATAACATACACCACAGGACCTCTGGATTAACTTTTGTTTGAACTAGAGCACATCTTTGTAGAAAACTGTGTAGTCTCGATATAAATATTTTCAGTAATGGAGTATGCACCAGAACCCTTGGTGAGTTGTTTCAGTGGTTAATTATAATTACTGTTTTTTGTTTTAATGTTTTATTTCTAGTCACATTGATCTATCTTCAACTTCCAGCCATTGAATCTTGTGATTACCTTTATGTGTGTACAAGAAAAGGAGATGTTGTGTAATGGCAATGACACTAAAGCCAAAAAAAAAAAAAGTAGGTTGTTTTCATCCATTGCTATAGACTATGGATTATTCAGATATGGGTGGTTTGTATGCAGTTTAATTTGCAGTAGATTAAGTGAAAGAGAAGCCACAGAACTCTTTGCTGCAGCTTTTATATCAAAGAGTGCTGTTTCTCCATTTAGCTGTTGTACCACAATGGTCTTGTGCAGCTGATTGCTGTGGCTGTGTATATCCATGGCTTGTTTTGCAAACTCATCTTTTATTGAGACTTGGGGATCTAGTCCTACAACTTTGGTGGGTTCTGCTGCACATATCCATCAAATCTCTTTCCTTCTTTTTCCAAAAATAGTAATATTTAGAAGGGAAAAAAACAAAAGGTTGTGTGCATCTCTGTTGTGACTGTTTTAAATCTCTTTTTAATTAAAGCAGGAAGGTTAACCCCCCCCCCCCCCCAAAACCCAAACAAACCCCCAAAACCCATGCAATTCTTAAGTAAAATTCATCTCCTCCTCCCTGGATACAAGACAGCCTGTATCCTGCCCATACCCTCTCTTACCTGCCTGGCCTAATTATGTCTTTTTTGCATAAATTGCAGTTACTTTGCTAAGGCTAAGCACATGGGAGAGAGGAGGAGAGCATAGATGGCTTGAGTAAAGGTAGATAGGGGAATGGGAGGTTAATTTTTGCTGTACTGTATTGAGGATGTAAGAAGTGCCAGTTGTCTTCCTAACAGTAGAAATGGCAGTTCTAATTCCCAGGCATGATACTGTCTCGGGCAGTGCATTGGACTAGATGAATTACAGAGGTCCCTTCCAGCCCAAGTTCTCTATGATTCTATGTTTAAAGATTAATATTTTGATCTAATTTAGATGCTCTTTAATATAGACTTAAATATGTTAAAGATTCATGTAAATTAAACTCACCTGTTTCTTCTGAACAATAAATTGGAATCTGACTGAACGGCTGTGTTGGCTGGTGTAGTTTAAGTATATAACTACTCTTCTGGACTTGACAACAGGGCTTGTAAGTGTTGGGTACTAGGTTTAGTGTTTATTCTTTGAGACATTTGTTCTACCTGCAGCAAAGAGTTCTGTGGCTTCTCTTTCACTTAATCTACTGCAAATTAAGCTGCATACAAACCACCCATATCTGAATAATCCATAGTCTATAGCAATGGATGAAAACAACCTACTTTTTATTTTTTTGGCTTTAGTGTCATTAGTACTTAATGCGCTACACATTGCCTTTGACTGTTTTTTTTCCTTTCCTCTTTTTCCTTTATTGCCTCCACCCTCTTGACTTACACAATTTTTGTAATTAAATCTTTTGCATTAGGGTTTCGATTTCTTTTCCTTTTAATAGATCTCTACCTAAAACTGGAAGATGTGACCTGTAAGTTTAATAAGCCTTGCATAATGGATGTGAAAATAGGCCAGAAAAGTTATGATCCATATGCTTCAGCTGAGAAGATTCACCAACAGGTCAGCAAGTACCCACTTATGGAAGAGATTGGGTTCTTGGTGCTTGGCATGAGGGTAAGTCTTCCTTTTTAAATTTTAAATTGTTTGTTCTCATATATTATCAAGATAAGAATTAATATAGTTTTCTAGCAAATAAAAACACTGCATTTAACTGTTCAATGTCTCTCTGGTGATCATAATTCTAACTGGAGTTTGGAAGTATATCTGTCGGAATATCTCAGGTTAGAATGTTGATTAGTCACAAAATAGTCATCGCTACTGTTATAAAAAATTATTTTAAATTATCATAGATGTTTAGGGGGATTCTCAAGCAACATTTTTGTGCTCTGGTTGTGAAACTATTCCTGTAGGCATCAGTCCTTTGAGCTGTATTTTTTTGGTATTTTAAAGTCTTTTAGATAAAATGTCTTTATGAACCATCTTGTTACTTGCCTACAGACATATGTATCAGCTTTGTTTGCAAGACTATGACTAATATCATGGCTGTAGTACTGCAGACTTCTTTTAATTCCTCCTCCCTGTGGAAGGCAAGGGCCTATGAATTTTTACTTTATATCCTGGAAGTAAAAATATGACTGAGATGATGATTTCAATGTGAAGGCTTTGGAGCCTCTGACAACCAGCAGATGTTCTGGGGAGGAAGACTGCTCCCATCAACAGATGGGATCCACCTGACCAAAACTGAAAAGAGCATTTTTCTAGTCATCATCTGGCCAACCTTGTAAGGTGAGCTTTAAATTAGGTCTGATGGGATAGTGAATAAAACCCTCCATCAACAGCAAGCAATCCATAGAGGAAAGGACCAGAAGCAGCAGCTCAACTCTGAGAGGGCCAGAGAGCCACAGGACAGCAACACGTGATGCAAAAGGGAAGAGAGTAGATTGAAATGCAAAATATATCCAATGTGTATATATACGAATGTGAGCAGTATGGGGAATAAACAAGATGAGCTGAAAGCTGCAGCCTGTGAACAGAACTTGTGACTTGATTGGTACCACAGAGACCTGGTGGGAGAGCTCTTATGACTGGAGTGTCAGCATGGAGGGTTACATTTTGTTTTGGAAAATCAAGGTTGGGAGAAGAGGTGGTGGTCTTGCCTTTTATGTCAAAAACGTATATGCTTGTTTCCTGGTTCAGGAGGAAGAAGATAGTACAGTGAAATGTATTTGGGTGAAAATGAAAGGGGAAAGATGCAGCACTGATATAATGGTGAGGAGTTACAGGCTACAAAATCAGGAAGAGGAGGTAGATGAGGCATTCTTCAAGGTGAGAAAACTATCCAAAATCTATGAGATGGTACTGATGGGAAACTTCAGTTTTCTAGTTAGCTGCTGGTAGAACAATACAGCCAAATATAAAATGTTGAGCCAGATCCTAACTTGTGTGGATGACAGCTTTCTGTTCCCAAAGGTTGAAGGTACAAACTAGAGGATCATCTGTCTTGGATCTTATCCTAACAATAGGGAAGAATTGGTGGTGGATGTGAAGGTGATAGGCAACTTGGGAGGAAGTGATCATGGTAAGTTAGTATTCCAGATTCTGAAGTGGGGAAAGTATGAGGTGGGCAAAACGAGGACTCTAGATTTCAAGAAGGTAGATTTCATCTGACATAAGGAGTTAATAGGCATGTGTTAATCTTAACACAATGGAGTTAATCTTCCATTGTGTCAGAACAGTTTCTTGTTGGGCTTTCAATACTGTGCCCTTCAGAACCTCCCAGTCCTCCTAGGCACATTTATCCTTCAGTCCATCCTCCCAGGACCATGTGGCTGCGTAAGGAGTTTCTAGGATGCCTTAAATGCAGAAGGAAAGCATACAGGTGATGGAAAAATGAGTAGGTCACCAGGAAATAGCAAGAGCCTTCAGGGACTAAATCAGGAAGGCAAAGATGAAGAGTGAAAAGCATCTGGCAAGAGAGATCAAAGACAACAAGAAGAGGTTCTGTAAGCCTGGCCAGAAAAAGCTGTGTCTCAACTAACTATCCAGGGGAGACTCTTAACAGAAGATGCAAAGAAAGCAGAGCTTCTCAACAGCTACTTTGCCTCAGTCTTAGTAAAAAAAATTAAGCTTTAGCTAGAGTACTGAAGGTACTGGCAGAGGAGATCTCTTAGCCTTTGGCAATGATATTCATGAAGTAGTGGGAGAGAGACCAGTTACTAGAGGACTGGAAAAGGGCCAACATAGTGTTTCATCTGCCTGCTCCTTCTCCCC